TAATGCTCAAAACCCATCATTATTACTCTCATTATCTCTCTTTAAGTAATTTTATAAATTTTATGTATGCATATATATATATATATATATATATATATATATATATATATATATATATATATATATATATATGTTTATGTAAGTAAGAGTCATGTACCTGAGCATGTTATATAGGAAGAAAAGATAGGATTGTATTGATTATAATCCTATGTAAGATTACATAAATATGGTTATAGATCTAAGATATGTATCTGAGTATGTATGTATAACCAAAGCATGTATGTACAACCAATGTATGTATAAGTGGGTAGAAGAAAAATAAGGGTATTATGAGTAATACCTATAAGAGTAGATAAAGAAAGAATAGGATTATATGTAATATAATCCTATGTATGAATAAATAATGAGAATGGTGTCTCTGGATACCTAAGAGATTGTAGATAGAGACAGAAGATGATTATATGCAGTATAATCATAAGAGTATATATTTATGTCTATATATTATTGGTATTGTGTAGAATGTCAATATGTTATTAGACATAGATAAAGATTTAGTACTTAATGATTTAAGTACAAGGAGAGAGATATTATATGGTCTCTAGATGAAACAAAGAGATAGATTATACATGAGACAAGTGTTATGTGATGAATCACATAACATAGATAGATATGGAAATATAGAGGTTCCTACGGGGAAAAGAGTCTGGTTCCTTCAGGGACAAGAGATAGAGGTTCCTTCTGGAACAAGAGATTGAGGTTCCTTCAGGTACAAAAGATAGAGATTCCTTTGGGAATAGAGAGTATGATTTCTTTGGGAATAAGAGTATGATTCCTACGGGGACAAGAGTATGGTTCCTTCGGGGACAAGAGTATGCTTCCATCACGGACAAGAGATAGAGATTCCTTCATGAATAAGAGTATGGTTCCTATAGGGACAAGAGTATGATTCATCCGGGAATGAGATTATGTCCCTACGGGGAAAGAGATGATGATTCGTTTTGGGAATTTAGATAGATGATTCCTGTGGGAATCTGGATTGTGTAAAGAGAGATAAGATAGAGAAAGGTTCCTTGAGTGGAACAATATAAGAGAGAGTTCTTTGTAAGAACTTAGATATTATCCAAGAGGGATTAACAATAAGGAATATACGAGGGATTCAAGAGAAGAATAAAGATTAAGGATCCGTGAAGGGTCATAAGAGAGATGAGAAAGACCGGATGAGTATACCCAGTAATAGTAGTGGGTTGTAGTTACCCTAAGGATATGGTATGAGATAGGACCATTGGGTCTAGAGGAGAATAGAATGATGAGGCAAATAGTAGAGAATAGATAGAACATAAAACGGAGTAAGAGATAGAGTAGAGAAGAGATGGAGTAGAGAAGATACAAAGTGGAATAGAGAAAGAAAAGAGAAGAGAAAAAGATAGAGTATGTGCAGAGAATGAGAAGATCTTGAGAAGGGGATATGAAAGAGTAACAGAAGGAAAGATAAGATTATGAGAAAGACTATGAGGAAAAATGAGAGAATAGTGGAGGAGATAGACGAAACAAGAGAAAAGAATATCAATGTATGTTATTAAGATAAAGAACTTAGAAGATAGAGTATGAGAAAGAGAAGGAAAAATGAAAGATAATAAAAGATAGAAGAATAACTCACCAGAAACATAGTGTCTGATGTTGTATATAAGTTTTATGTTTTGCAGGTTCAGGTAGTAGCAGCCGTGGTACCAAAGGAGAGGACAGAAGCACAAGGACAAGGCTTAGATAGTAGGATGATATTAATTGTACTTCCTTGTTGTTCTAATTTATATAGATATATTTTATTGTAACCCCGTGATTTATCTTGAGAAGTAAATTGTTTTAATTTTTTTAGAATTCCTCAACTGTAAGAAAAACTCTGATATTTCCCTTAGAATAGATGTTAGAAAATTTGGGTCGTTACACCAAAGCCTTCATGTTCTTATAGTTTGGTGAACTCGAGAACCTTTGGTTACATTGTTCAGCTTTTGGACTAATGAGGAGGAAGAAAAAGTGGTTACATGGTCTTGCCTTGAAGTCTATGCATTTGGAATGACCACTTTTGAGTTAGGGTTGTAGATCTTGGCTTGTTGAGATGTCCAAATGGATAAAGTTAGAAACTTTATCCATTAGAACCCTTGAAAGGATCAAATCTAAGCTTTTGAGCCTTTCTAGGTTTTGGGTTAAGGGCTTAACACATTAAGTTGTTATAGACATTCACCACGGCATGGTGGATGGTTGGCCACGACACAGTGAGGGGTTTCGACGTGGTTGTTATGTCCTATGGCTACCACGTCGTGGTCATAGGGTTGGCCACAACGCGATGGGTCATTCATTGACTTTTTGACGATTTTAACTTTTTGTCAAACTTGGGTAGAATTTAGTATTTAGCAAAAGGAATGGTTTCGTTTGGTATTAGGTAGATTGTGTTAGTCGTTCTATTGTTGAGGTTGCTGTTGAACTTCTGTTGTTTAGTTTAGGTCAGTATTCTCACTGTGTTACTTATATCATATTTTGTATGTGAGCTTTTGATAGCACGGGGTTATTTATAACCCAAATTGTTGTATGTGAGCTGCTAATAGCTCGAGGTTGCTGATAACCCAAATCGTTGCATGTGAACTATTGATAGCTCGGGGTTGTTGGTAACCCAAATTGTTGTATGTCAGCTATTGATAGCTCGGGGTTGTTGATAACCCAAATTGTTGTAATTGACTTGTTGGTAACCCAAATTGTTGTAATTGAGTTTTTGATAACTCGGGGTTGCCTATAACCCATAATTGTTTTATATGTTTAGTTGTGTTTTAATGTATGTGATACTTTGGGGAACTCACTAAGCTTTATCTTACAGTCGTGGATTAAACATTTTTCTGGTACTTCTGATGATTGTGGGAAGGTGAAGGCATGACTGTACACACACATAATCAGTTTTATGATTTGAGATTTCACGATAATTTCGTTATAAATCTTATTATGGATTTCAATTTATGAACAAATGGTATTGCTTTGAATGTACCTTTATAAAAATGAGTGTTTATGCTAATTTAAAATTGTAAAATTTATTCTGAAAAATGGGACGTTACAAAAAATATAATTTTTTCTATTTTAGAATTGTAAAATTAAACCTTTGTTTTATTTTTATTTTAAAAGTGAAACAATTAATCCATTCATCCCAATTTTAAACATATCTATAATGCTAGAGGGAGTAATGCCTCTTTTGTCACATCTTTAGGGGGTTTGTTTGCCATGATATATTTGTTTTTTATTTTGATTATTATTTAAGTGAAAAAGTTTTATATAAAACTAAAATTTTCATTATAATTAAAAAGGCAAGTACACTTGAAATTAAATAAAATACAACAAACTTGAAATTAAATAAAACACATGACACTTGAAATTAAAATATAGGAAACATGAAAAATTAAAAATAACAACACCTTAGTTGACATATAGACGCCATTTTTTGTACCCCCTAACAACTGGCCAAAACTATGTATACACTAACAGTTTGTTATTTTCTCCATGAAAAATTTAAAGAGCATTGTTTAACATTATTCCATCATTTCCATATTTGTTGAAGCATGTTTCACTCTACTAAACAAAGAGTGAAACTATACTACAACTTTTTTTGCGTTCCTTCATTATTAAAGATTTGATTTTTTGCTTTGATGGTGACCTTGACCTATTTCATTGTTGAATCATTGGGCGATTTTGTTCCAGAAAGAAGACCCACTTTAGTAGTTGTAAATTGGGTCCTCATTTACATCGACCCATGCACGATCCAAAACTAAATCTTTTGTCAGGGTCCAATGATGAGCCATTTTGAGAGATGAACTTGAGATAGGTTTATGAGTGATGGATGTTTGGGAGAGATGAATATTGAAGGTTTGAAAGTGATGAAAAATGAAGAAGGTTATTGATATTTATTTTAGTTGAAAAGAAGTTTAAATTTTGAATATGAAAAAAAGCGATTAGTTTTTTGAAAAGTTAGGTATTTTTTTAAAAGTGGCAAAACAATCTCTCTTATCTTTAATGTATTACTGAATTCACATGTCTAGTTGAGGAACGGTGTCTGTCGAGGCATTGTCTAGTCCACTACGAATAGCCTAAGTGATTTTGAACTTAAATGTAACACCAGGTTTCTGGTATGTTGTTTGTCATCTGATATTTTCTAAGTTAAGTTTTATTTCGGATTTTGGGGAGGATTGCGACGCGGCTAGTTGATGGTCGCGACGTGTGCCACATTATTAAGTAGTGATACGTCCTTATATGGGTCTCGACACGAATCCACAATCAATCCAAACCCTAATATTGGGATTTGGGCCCTATAAAATGACATTAACTCCTAGGGTTTGCATGATTCTTCAGCCTCCATCTCCAGTGAAAGAAACCCTACCCCTTGCTTTCATTGTGTAACACCCCGTTTATTTATTAAATAAATAAATAAATTGATGAATGTATAGTAGCCCTAAAATCAATGACTATATATGCAGGGTATTGGTTTCGAGGAGTTAATTGGCATAATTTAGAAGTTGAGGGTTAAAAGTGTAAGTTCCGAACTCAGTTATAATTATTTATGAAGACAGGGGCTCTGTGGTAATTATTTGGATTTAATTTAAAAGGGTAACATATGGACTTTATTTGAGAATAAATTGTAAAGGAAGGGCTGAATGGTAACTGTGGGACTAAATATGAAGGAATTATGTGAGCAGGGGTGGGAAGAGTAAATTATGGCCTTGGTTTGAAAGACAAAGAGAAAGGGAGGGTTGATCTTGGCATTATGGGATAAATTGTATAGGTTTCAAGGTATAAAACCCGTCGCATGGTAAACCCTAACCCTAAAAGAAGTGGCAGCCGCAATCTATCCTCTACCCCTCCGTCTCCGGCGTCGTTGCCACCCTTGCCTCCACCACCGACGTCGTCTGCTGCCTTTGAAGATGTAGAGCCGCCACCCGTGACCGATCCAGTCGCCAGCATGGAGTCGCTCAGCTACCAAAGTCAACCACGAACCTGCTGCCGGCACAACCACGATCAATCGCTGCCTTCACTTCTTCGCCGCCGATATACGCTGCTGCTGCCCGCCATCCGTCGTCATGAGTGCAGCTAGCCGCCGCCATCGCCTGTTCAACCAACGAGGAGGTTGTTCCATTGCCTTTCCCTCCGACTGCCATGAGCCACCGTGAAGTGGTTGTGATTGGGAGTGTTTCCCTTGTTCAGCTCGTGTTCGTGGGCACGTTCATGCTCTCTGTTGACCAAAAAAGCATGGAAACCACCATGGTGGCCATTACCTTGCCGCCGCCGTGTAACCTTCCTTCTGTCGTCTTCTGCCGGATCTTGACAACACCAGCCACCTCTACGAGTTTGTGTATGGGTGTGTATCATAGTAGACCAGTTGTGCTCGATTTTCATAAGGTTGTGGTGGTTTGTTTGGCCAGAAAAGCCACCACCGCCACCACCGTGAGGTGGTGGCTGCCACCCACGTACCACCGCTGGCCACCACTAGGGTGGCTGTGTGTGTGTATTAGAGTAGTTAGTGTGTGTGTTTATTTATGGATTAAAAGCTTGTAATTGTAATTAGCAAAAGAGTAATGAAAAGAACCATAACCACCACCGTAAGGTGGTGGCCGCCGCCGTGAGCCGCCATTGACCACCACTACCCGAGGTGGTAGTGGGTGGTTCCCCACTAGCAAAACCCTAATGGACCTAGCAAAACCCTAATGGGCTTAAAGATTAATTTTGGGCCTATTGGGCCATGTTTGGATGGAAACCCTAATTAGGGTTTAGAAAGCCCTAATTGTGAGTATTTGGGCCTTGGACTTATTGGGACCCACCTTTGGGCCATTGGGATTGGATTGTGTATTAAGCCCAAATTATTCCATATCATTTATCTAGTAGAGTAAAGGTATTAATGGATTAAGTCCTTAATGGGTTAAGTGAGAAACACTTAACCCTAATTGTCATTTTATGTGAAACCCTAATTTCACTTGGACTTTGAGTTGGGCCTTCCTATTGGGCCTTGGTGATTGGGATAATAATGGACCATCCAAGATCAATCAATGGACTAGAATATTTAGATGGGCTTTAGGGTAGGGCCCATATGAGGGTTTGGGCCCAATTTGGAAAGTTGGGCCATAGATGGGCCATAGTTTGGGCCTTGATGATTATGAGATATTGGACCATCAGAATGTCAAGTATTGGACCAAGAATAAATGGTTGGGCCTTAAGGCAAGACCATGTAGAGACTTGGGCCCAATTGGGAAAATTGGGCCATTATTGGGCCTTGGTTCATTACTAGACTTTTGGGCCTTTGAATTGGGCCTTGGGCTTGAGTCAAACTAAGTTAGGGGTAAAGTGGTCTTTTACCCCAAGCATGGATTTATGGATAAGTGTTGGAACCCGATTATTAATTGGGTGTTATTTTGATGTTGACAGATTCGGGAATCTGTCATCCAGCAACTAGGGTTTTCGTCTGCGGGACTTCATCAGTGTGAGGTGAGTTTCCCTTCAGTAGGAACGGGTCTAAGGCATCAATACCGGCCCGTTTAGTAGTGTAGTATATCGGGGTTAGCCCGATGCAGATTGTATGTTTCCGGACTTCGGTTCGATGTCGGGCGGGGCCCGATGCAGTGGTTTAGCTTCATGTTATATGTTATGTTTTCTGGACTTCGGTCCGATGCCGGGAAATCCCGAGAAGTAGCTATGTATGCTTGTTGTCTTTTGTAACTCACACATGTTTGTGTTATGTGTTATATGTTTTGGGCTTCGGTCCGATGTCGGGCAAGCCCGATGCAGTATATGTGATTATGTTATATGTTCATGCTTATGTTATGTTCAGTTTAATCCGGACTTCGGTCCGATGCCGGGCGGGGCCCGATGCAGTGGGCGGGGCCCGATGCAGTGGGCAAGGCCCAGTATGTGCTATATGAGTTATTGTATGGTATGTGGTAGTTTGGGGAGACTCACTAAGCTTCGTGCTTACAGTTTTCAGTTTTGGTTTCAGGTACTCAGTTTTCAAAAGAGGAGCTCAGGAAGATTGCAGTGCACACACCATTTGTTCAGCCTGGGATTGATTGAGACTCTGATATTTTCTCATTTGGTTTTGATACAATATTTGATATGAGATTTTGAGATACATGACACTTGGTTTTCTTTTGATTATGGATGATTATAGTTTTTGATAATGTTTTTCAAACGAAACTTTTGGACTGTATTTTTGGGATGTTTCACATTGTGTGTGTGTGTGTGTGTGCTTTTGGTGATCTTTATTGGGAAAGAAAGGAATTAGTGTTTTTAAGAAGCTGTATCTATAAGAATTTCAACTTTATCCTTCCATTTTAACCATGTATGGTTTTGGTAGCATTTTGGTACCATTTTTAACCCAGGTTAGGGGTGTTGGTGTTTGGGACATGAAGATGTATAAAGTTGGTAACATTATCCATTAATACATTCTTTCTTTGAGATATGGAAAGTTGGAGCTCTAATCTTAAGGGATTAAGTGCTTAACGAGAAAATTGGAATCTGCCTTGGAAAGCATGGCGCGGCCAAGGAAGGGTCGCGATGTGATATTTAAATTAGGTTTGCGACTTTTTTGTCAAGATGTGATCGCGATGTGACCTGTAACTAGGTCACGTCGTGCAGACCGTTGACTTTTTGACCAGTTTAAATTTTAGTCAAATCTACAGGTTTCGTGTTGTAGACTGAGGTTTGACCTCTTTTGTTATCTAGGTGTTTCATGAGACCGATTCTTGTGAGCGTACATGTGTAGTTATGAGTTCAACTTTCAGTTTAGGTAAGTTATCTCACTATACTATATGTTACAGTATATATCTTTCGTATGATAGGATGTAGATGTATGTTAGTATGTTGATTATACAACTAGGCTAGCATAGTCTTTTGCATGTTGATTGTTTGATTATATGATATGTTGATATGTTATGTCGAGGTGTTAATGGTGGATTGACACTGGAGCCGAGAGCCTAGAATACCCAATGTTGATAACTAGATGTCTTGATAGCCATTAGTTGTTGTTAATGACTAGACGACACTAGAGTCGTTAGTCGTTGACGATCAGGTGGATCGACATTGGAACTAAGAGCCTTTGTTTCTATGCATTGTAAGTGTATTGCAGTATTGTAAGTGCTGAATAAATAATTTTCAAGTAGTTCCTCTGATCGTGGGAAGGCTCCAACTTGACTGTACAGTACATGCATCGTAGAAGATTATGTTTTTAGACTTCCGATGTTAATGATGATTCTGATACATTGATTTTCATGTCTCGGTTTTGTGGTTTTAAACAATTTGATATTATATCTTTTATATTAAAATGAATATTTCACTTATGATTTAAAAGGAAAAGTTTTGTTTGAAATTTAAAACGTTACAAATATAATTATTTTGTCCTAGGTAAAATTATATAATCTTGTGTTTACTGTACATGTGCGTGTTTGGCACGAAGCTTTTGGAAACGTTTGGGAACTTCTAGCGTTTGACAAAACACTCCGTTTTGAACGGAAAGTCTCGTTTGGCACTACAAACTTTTAGAGTTTAGTTTAAACAAAATGATCCAAATCTAAAATTTATCTCATGTAGCTTTAAGAAAACGCTACCCGCTACCAGCTACCAGCTTCCCGCTACCCGCTAGAAGCTAGTTTTGTCAAACACACCCATCGTTGTTTGGTCAACAGTGGCACCATAAAAAAAAGAACATTATGATGCAAGTAATGATGATCTCAACAACAATTTATATTATTTTCTTATACCATAGAGGATCATAATGTTATTCTTTATGCTAATATTGTAATGTAGTGACTACTTAAATTATTTTAAATTTTTTAAAAACATAAATGAATAAGATTAGCAAGTTCTATTAAGTTGCTTAATATTACAATATATAATACATCTATTTAAACAATTCACTAAACAATCTGTTTGTTGGTTTAAACAAGTTATAAACAAATCCACCCAGAATCGCTCCAATAATTGAAGCACAAATGTATACCCACATTCCTTTGTAATTATGGAGCACAATGGCTGGTCCAAGGCTTCGTGCTGGATTCATCGATGCTCCGGATATTTGTCTGGATTCAAGTAAATAAATAGATTCTCTTTAGTTTTGAATAATAAAAATCCATTCACTAAAAATAATAAATAAATTAGTAAGTTAGGAAGTTACCCTGCTACAAAGACATTTAATGTTATAGTCATGCCAACTACGATTCCTCCGATCTTTGTATTCTGCAATTTCACATTAAAAATTGTTTTTTATTCTTAATTGATTGTTCAAACTTTATAGGTGGTATATATATATATATATATATATATATATATATATATATATATATATATATATATATATATATATATATATATATATATAATAAACCATTCTATCAATTCTATAAAAAAAAATAGGAGACTCACATAATACCATATTTTTCACAATTATTACTAAATAGCCATTTATTTTGCACAAAAGGCTTTGCGAAATGCATTTATATTGCAAAATTATTTTATCAATGTTGATTTGTGGAGTATGATGTTTACCAAAGGGACATAACCACTGTTATGATGATGGAAACAAAAGTACAAGCCAAGATTGGTAATCAAGGGTTTGCAATAGAAATTAAAAAGAGTTGAATCTAGTGAAATCTTCTCCCCGACAGTGAAGGTGACTACAATCATGTTAGACTTGAGTATTATGGCTACAAAAGACTTAGATATTCAACAATTAGACAAAAATACATATTTCTTACAATAGTGATCTTGAAAAAGATACCTATATTGCATACCGTGGAGGATTCCATATTGCTGGAAAAGCCAATATGGTGTGTAAATTGAACAAAAGATTATGAATGGAACTAAACAAGCATCAATGCAATGATACTTGAAGTTTAACAACTTTATGTATAGAAATAGATACATGATATCTTAAATATACCAATGTCACTACTTAAAGTGGTTTAGTTCATATTATATTATATTGGTGTTATATGGTGATATGTTGGTAGCGGGATCTTACACGAAAGAAATCAATATGGTTTGTAAATTGAACAAAAGATTATAAATGTAACTAAATAAGCATAGATGCAATGATACTTTAAGTTTAACAAGTTTATGTTGAGAAATAGATACATGATATCTTAAATATACCAATGTCACTACTTAAAGTGGTTTAGTTCGTATTATATTATAGTGGTGTTATATGATGATATGTTGGTAGTGGGATCTTACACAAAAGAAATCAACAAATTAAAAAAGAAAATTTTCAATAATTTTGAGATGAAATATCAGTGGTTCCAAGAAAGCTAGTTTTCATGCTTATAATGAAAGATAGAGTAAGATGTTCTCTTCAACTTTTCTTAGAGAAGTAGATTAGGAAAGTGTTGTAGGAGTTTAGTCTGAAGAATGTAAAAGTGAGAAGTACACTCTTAGGAAGTAACTTGACACTTACAAAAGACAACATAGGACAAAGACAAGAAATAGATGGGGTAAATTTGTTTATGTATCGTTTTGTCGGTATTTTGATGTATACTATAGTATGCATGAAGCATTATATTACTCACGTAGTGGGAGTTATTATCATATTCATGTTAAATATGAGAAAAGAGCATTACGAAACAATAAAATGGTTTGTATGCTACTTCAAGGTCACCTCTAGTCCCACCATGTGTTTTAGATGAAAATGGGTTATCATTAAAAGGTTTGTAGATGCAAATGTGGGTAGTTATTTAGATTCGAGTAAGAACACTATATGTGTTATGTATTTAGAGTATAAAGAACATAAATCATGTAGATGTAGACTTCAAAAGAATGTTTTTTTTTTCAACCATAAAAGCAAAATATACAATTATTGTGAAAACAAGCAACGAACTAATTAATATGGTTAAAAAGCTTTATATAGGATTTGGACATAAAAAATGAAGATGATGTACTTTATTAGGACAATCATAGTACATTCATATGATATAACACTTCATTAATGAATAAAGCAACAACAATAAGTTGAAAGATCTTTGGTGCAAAGAATTCAAATATACTTGTTTATGAAAGAGAATTTACAAAAGACTTGGATAAACCTTAAGTTGTCCTAAATTACAACAAAAATAATAAGGATTTTTGGAATTGTCATTAGAATAATTTCATGAAAGAAATGTTAGTTCGAAAAGGCAGTTTAATGAAACAAGTAATTTTTTCATATAAGTTTAAAAAACTGAAAAATCATTACAAGTATTTATTTCATATACAAGGAAAATATTTGTGCGTTAAGCGAAATAAAATTATACAGTTAAACTTGTGGTAATTATATGTTACTGAAAATATTTATGTTATTTATATTAACTATAAAATAATTATTATTACGTTACTGGATGTAAAATTATAATTAATTTGAACAATAGATAAAATGACATTTATTAAAATCAAATCATTTAATGGTATCTACTCACATTTTACGTGTGTATATAAAATTAGTTATATTTCTCAACTATTTTAATTAACTATTGTTATGATTTATAAATTTTTAATATTTTTTTACAAGGTTTTAGTTTCATCATGATGATTATTTAAACTATCAACCACTTTTTGTAATGTAATATAATTTAATTTATAGCTTTATGTTATTTTTAACGATTATTATTATAAATTAATTTTAAAAACAACTTAATTGAATTTTAGTTATTATAAAAAATAGTTTTTGGACATCTTTTAGTTAATTTTACTTTTAGATTTAGGTTTTTTACATTTATCATATTTAATATTTTCCTTTTAACTATTTTAAAAATATAAATTGATTTTTTTTAAAAAATTATTTTATATTTTACTTTAAGTTTTAAATTTTTACATTATATTTTTAAGTTTATTTAATATATTAATTTAGGTTATGTAGTTAACACTATATTGAAGTCAACAAATTAAGTATATCATATTGATAATTCAAGAAGTGTTCCATTTATGATAATGTTTATAACTACCAACATATTTAAGTAAATAAATTAAGGTATATTTTGTGGAAATTTGAAGAGTGATAATATAATATGATATGAAGTTTGTATGTAGTATGATATGAAGTTCGTATATAGTATGGATGTGGTGAAAAAAAAAATATTTCATTTATAGTACAGTATGAAGTTTGTATATTCCTTCGCATCTTTTGGTCATATCAGATATTAATGGCCCTTTAAATAAAAAACATTTTTTATAACACATGAAACTTACTATTTTCTATTTCGATATGTTTTAATTATGTGATATGTTTTAAGTATGTGACATGTTTTAACTATGTGAAAGAAAACTTTTAAATAAAAAGGATAATGTTATTTTTACTTTAAAATTGAAACATTTAATCCTTTGTTTTATTTTTATTTTAGAAGTCAAACAATTAATAAGGAATTTTAATCTTAAAGTATAAATAACTAATTATTTCATCCTCAAGTAAAATAATAATATAATTATAATATAATTGTGTGTTTACTATACATACCGCCCTTCGATCAATAGTGGCACCCGAAATAACGAACATTAGGATGGCAGTAATGATGATCTCAACAAAGAACGATTGCATGGTTGAGCCAGAGGGTGTAGTTCCAAAAAATGCTTTCGGTGTTACGTCCAAAATCAATGCTAATGTTCCGCTAGCGAAAATTGATCCCAATGTTTGTGATATTATATAAAAGAACACCTACACATGAAGACATCATAAGTATATCAAAGGCCCTACTATAAATCATAATCTTTTGTAATTGGTAAAAGTAGAGTCTGAATTAAAATTTCAATAAGCTAAAACGAGAAATAAACATTAATTAATACCTCCTTAAAAGGAAACAAACCCAAGAGGGCCAATGTGATTGTGACGGCAGGATTAAAGTGGGCGGAGACATGGCCGACGGAGTAAATCATAACCATAACGATTAGGCCCCACGTTACACTTATCCCCGGAAAACTGACTGCGCCACCGTAAAGTTGATTGACAGCCACCGACCCGCAACCAGCAAAAATAAGAAAATAGGTTCCAATAAACTCGGATAACAACTGCATGTACGTACATATAATAAAAGTAAACCAAATAAGTACATGTGTGAACAAGAGGATCCATATATTATATTGCATCAACTTCGTCTAACAACCTATGCATTCTATTATCATTTTCAATTGGACGATCCATTAATCCAACTAGTAGATGCACGCATGCAAAAACATTAAACATATATACATATACCCTTTGGGCCAAATCAACAACAGGATTCGAGGAAACGGTGAGATCAGAACTCAAGACGAAATTGCCTTTCTCCACTGCTGAGATATTTGATTCGTTATCACTCGGAAGTGCCATTATTTAAGATTATTAATTACCGTGTAACTAAATAAACGAGAGAAAGAATTTGAGAGAATGAATAAGTTTAGGAGTATAAGGGTTGTCGCTTGATGTTTATATATAGAGGAGCCGAGTCATATGTTTACTATATATGATTAGTTTTTGACCTATTTTTGGGAACTTAAAAGGTGATTGGCCAATAATTTCGTTGTTTACCATGAAGTCAACATAATTTCTTTTTTTTGACAATTGTTGTACTAACATAACTTACACCTATATATTGGTTCCGAGTCAAAAGCTTCTTTGACAGACAATTGGCTTGTCTAGAGACTTCCCACGATCCATAAATCCCTCGTTCTTGAACTTATATTATTTTCGAAAGTAGGGGCGTTCAAAAATACCCGAACCCGAAATTCGATCTGAAATTATTTGAAAATTCGAATATCTGAAATCCGGATATCCGTTTTTCGGATTCGGATACGGATAATAATTTTGTAAATTTTCGGATATTCCGGATATCCGATATCCGAAAATAATTTTTTAACATTTTAATTTTTAAAAATATTATGTGATAATAGAAAGAATATATTACAAAAGATGAAGCTAATTCGCTTTTACAATAGGAGCAAAAGATGAAACTAATTGTTCTTAATTTTTTGTTCCCAATATTTAATATACATAATGGTTATTTTTGAGTATTTAGTGATACTCTATGATGTACTGACATTTTTGTTTATCTTTTATAAGAAGAATTTAAAAAATCCATTTTAATGTATTACTAAATAGACAAGGTTAATTTATTTATTTTTTGTATTGACAGAGATAAACGTTTCCCTTAAGCAATTACAAAGACAGTTATAGCCTACAACGTAATTAAGAGCCGGTAACAATTCTATCAGACAAGTTTTTTTGTTGTACCTTTGTCTTGTTGTTTAAACATTTATTATAAAGATGAAGATGTTTCCTTTTGGTATATAAACATGAAAAAATTTAAAATTCGGATATTAAAATTCATTATCTGAAATTTCTGAATATCTGATTTTTGGATATCCGGCAAAGATTGGTGCAGTTGATCAAAATGTTGATGTGTGGTGATAATGTTTATTCAAGAGGTCATAAGTATGTATGCCTAAAGATCTTCTTTTTTTAGTGTGGTAGCTATTTCCAAATTATGATGATGGACTGATGGTGACATAACCATTACTCTTTATAGTGAGATCGATTACGATTTTATATATATATAGATATATATATATATATATATATATATATATATAGATATATATATATTAGGCAAATATTCGCACTTTGCGCAGAATACAACAATATATTTGAAATCTTTACAAATATATGTTTTTTCAATATATCAATGACGTTGTTGTTAGCTCTTATATAATAAATCTTATAATAAGTTGGTATAAACATTGTTTGTTTTGAATTATATCATAATGTAGACATCTTTTAAAATTCTATAATCTCAATTGTCTCAATGACCTTAACTGCAAGTTACTCATGAATCAAATTAAATATAATATATAGTTTAATGATATTTATAGTTGTTGTTATTATTAATTAATTTTAAAAAGTTTATTTGCTTAAGATTTTAATTTCTATCATTGTAATTATTTAAAACATCAAACATTTTTTTTTTGTTTTTAAAGGTAACAATATAATTTTTGTATATAATATTACTTTTAATTATTGTTGTTGTAAGTTATTTAAAATAACGTATTTGGAAACTCTTAACTATTTTAATTTGGTTTCAGAAATTAAATTTTTTTAAAAATTTATTGGATGAATATTGTTAGTTTCTTTGATTGTAATTATTTAAAACAACAAACATTGTTTTTGTTTTTAAAGATAACATTATAATTTTCTATATAATATTACTTTTAACTATTATTATTGTAATTTATTTTTAAGCTAATTATTTGAAAATTCTTAATGATTATAAAAAATAGTTTTATGGTTTTTTTTATTAATTTAGGATTACAATTTAGGTTTAACACTATAATTTATGACTTTTAACTATTTATAAGATAGTCTCTCGATTTTTTCAAGTTTAATTGGAATTTTGATTTAAGTTAACCGTTTAACATTATATTGAAATTAATAATTAAACTATTTTAAATAAAATCATAAATTATATAAAAGTTATGACTTTAAAATGACAATTGTTCACATACGGCAATATATTTAAACTAATAAGTTAACTGTATTATGTTAAAAAGTTAAAGTTATAATTTTATGAATAGAAGTAAAATATAATATTTTAATATTATAGTTTTGTTAATTTATGATTAGAATTTAGTTTTCATATTAATTTAACATTATTAACCAATTTACAATAATTATTAGAAAAAAATGAAAATTAATGGAGGTTTCAAATGCATGTGGTGCAATTAAAGCACATATTTTATTAGTAATATATATATATATATATATATATATATCTATATATATATATATATATATATATATATATATATATATATATATATCTATATATATATATATATATATATAGAGAGAGAGAGAGAGAGAGAGAGAGTTCTGCTCATATATAATAATCGGGACCGGATATTAAGGGGTACAATTGGTGCATCTATATAGGGCCCATAATTTTATGGGGCCCAAATTTTTGTCATCCTTTAATACTAGTTAATTATGTATGAGCCAAGACTAAATAGAATAAGAGAATTGGAGAATTGTCACTACAGACACCTACAGGGCACAGAGTGGGAAAAAAGAGAGGCGATCAATCGATATTCACTCTCTCATCTATTCTCTTTATAATAGAAAAAAATCAAGGAATCCCTTTCGTATCCAGCAACGGTCTCAAAACCCAACCCAAAAGAGTCTGATAATTACTCTGATTTCTCCTCTATTCTTCTTTCTTGTTTTCATTGATTCTCTATTTCTCTCATAATCTCGCTTATATTTAGCAGTTAGCATCATCAAAAATCAGAATCGATTTTTAGAATCTGGATCAGGTCTCTTCAAAAATCAAAATCAGAAACGGTCTATTCAAGAGACAAGAATCGGAAATTCAGAATATAAAAAAAAGGTACTTTAAAAATCAGAATAGGTTTTTATCATATCTCTCTTAAACTTGAGTTCTTGACAGTTGACAAATTTGGTTTTGATTCTCTTAACAGGGTTTTGAACTCTTGATAGCTCTTTTTGGTTTTTCAAAAAATCTAAAAATTTATCAAGGTTTACCACTTTACCATTTTTCCGACTTCCTCTATTCTATATCAAGATTCTAAAAAGTTTTTCATGGCTTCAAGACTTGTACTTGCCTCCGAGCTCTGACAAAATGCAGCCTTAAGTCATATATGTATATAAAAATGAATAATATATATATATATATATATATATATATATAATTATTAATTATGTACAAAAATTATCGCCTTAATTCACGCCTTACAAACGAGATGGCTCGCCAAGGCTCGAAAAAGCTTGAGTCTTGACATTGTCGCCAAGTCACGTCATTCATTATTTAGAACCTTGTTCTATATTGATAATCATTTTGACCTCTTTTTTTAGTAATTTTTTCATAATATATTTATATTTTTATAGATTTAGTGTATTTGATTTGTTGAGAACTGAAAACTAAGAAGTGAGAATGAATTTACAAGTCTGTCATTGTAACGACCCAATTTTCAAAAGAAAATTTTCCTTTTTAAATAGAAAAAAAACACTTTCCATAAACCATAAAATCCCAACTACATTTGTTTTCAAATTCAAAAATAATAACAATATTATCCCAAACATCAGAGTGTCCCATAAAAACGCCAGATAGAGAGTGCATGTCGCGTCATCAAGCATTGCCCTTGCCCTTAGGCTCAGATGTACCTGAAACAAATCCACAAAGTGTAAGCTAATGCTTAGTGAGTTCCCCAGAGCATACCCCACATAATCCACATAATCACATAATCCATATTAGCTATAAACGCTACATAAACCATACAAGCCATGCATACAAACATATAAGGATTTCGTGGGCTCCTCCCAAGGTCTTACTCCACAATGTCATGGGCTCCCCCACATGGTCTTATACCTAAGTGCCATGGGCTCCCCTCATGGTCTTTAGCTGGAAAGTCATGGGCTCCCCCACATGGTCTTACATCCAAGTGTCATGGGCTCCTCCCATGGTCTTTACTTGAAAAGCCATGGGCTCCCCCAGATGGTCTTACATTTAAGCGTCATAGGCTCCCCCATGGTCTTCCCTACAAGTGTCATACTAACATAACACATAATCAAACAACAATCCACATATCACAAAATAGGCCGGCCTTGGTGCCTTAGACCCATTGGTATGGTGAGAAAACTCACCTCTCGTGAATGCTGAACTGACAAGATAAGATCAGATAAGTCCCACGCACTGCTCCAACTCAACTGCCTATAATCATCATGTGATTAACTTGTCAAAATCCTGAAATACCATAAATGCCCTCAAAGTCAACCCTGGTCAACCCTGGTCAAAGTCAAGGTCAACGATCAAGGTCATCAGTCAAGGTCAACAGTACATGTTGACCCCAACTCGTTGAGTGCATCCAGCAACTCGCCGAGTTACCTGAGTAACTCATCAAACTCGCCGAGTTACCGGAGTAACTCGTCGAGTTCCTAAATGTCCAGAAGATCGAAAACTCATGTGGACCGCAAACTCTAATCCTTCACCAAAATCACTCAGAATCTCGAAAATGGGTAAACCCTACCCGACTCGTCGAGTTGGCTAAGGAACTCGACGAGTCCCTTCAGTCCTTTTAGTGTTCAGTCGTTTTTAAGCTACTTCGAAGCTCCAAGTTGCAGATCTAGCCTCCTAGGGCATGGTTTCCACGTAAAGTTGCAAACTTTACGTGCATGCAATGTCCTAAATGCCAAACCCAAGCAAAGGGAGGGGTTTAAGCCAAAAAGGAGGACCAATGCTTGATAAATTAAGTGACTTTATAACTCTGAGGACTTAGAGGAGTCTAGATCTGAAGTTACAACTTCACATCATGCCCAATACTCGAAATAATCTACAAATGTACTAAGAGTGACCTTAAACTTAAGAAAAAGGGGATCTAA